ATTATATTTTATTTCAAGCTTTTTTACCAATGAGACACACATGAGAGTGTTTGGTGTGGACAAAGAGATTTCAGGGTATGAAAAGGCCTGAGTCGAGCCTACCTATTATAGTAGGATATGTTTGATATGTAATACCATAGCTGACACGCCTCGCTCTGAGTATAGTTAGTGGATCCGAAATGTGACATGCGTCGATGATAGATACTAACTAAAAGTCGAACCCACCATCAAAGCAACTACCACTACAATATGCAACTTTTTTATAAATTATTCTTAATAGAATTATTTTTATAAATTATCTCTCATGTAAATGGGACTAACAAACCTGTAATCCATTATATACAAATCAAAAATATATAATGCAACACAATAGAGATAAATCGAAATCTTAACTTTTAGTAAAAAAATAATATGAAATGTATATATGGATACAAAATACGTACTAAGCCCTATAACTCTTTACAAGTGGTGTAAAATCACATCTAAACATAAACATGTGTCTCGAAACATTGACTAAATGGTCTATGAAGTGAGTCATATAAGAAAAATCTGTCGTGTGATTCTGACTCCAAAATCAAATGCTCAACTCCAAAGATGCCTAGAAACTCAACTGTTACCTGATAAGAAAATCGTGAAAAAATATATGAGTTGATAGCTCAGTGAGTGGAGAAGTTCGAAATTAAATATACTTTTTCATCTATACATTCTTATTAAAAATCAAGTTTACATCAATTAATAGCTCACAATTTGCATATAATAATCAAGATGGGAAACATCCTCATAATGCTGAAATATATAATCATATAGTCATGATATAACCCTCAATTCAAATTCATAATATAGTCTCATCACACCATATTTAATCCACCAAAAATGTACTCTTTGATTGAAATATATAATTCACCCTTAGGTCTAAGAATTTTCGTCAAAGGCCTCCTTCGTGAACGAAAGCCGATTTCAAGACCTCTGATAATCAATTCTAGAAAACGGTCAAGACTCCTCTATGAACTAGAAGAAGTATATAATCAGGAATACTTTTCTGATCGATCTCAATATCACATGTCACATTCCAGTTTATAAGTAATCCACGTACAACGTTAATGATTTCAAATATATCATAATGAAATAACCTTTCATAATAATCATTTAATTGTACAAGCAATTCACATAATTACACATAATGTAAAAGTATAATTAATATATTAATTTTTAAAAATATTTAAATTTTTCTACTTACAGAACTATGTACGTAAAATCAACTCAGTTGGTAAATTGTTTCGATATTCGTATCGATGCTTGAAATATGATATAATTTTTAAATTAACAATTAACTATTTTAAGTAATTCTGATAATAAAATAGGCGATACTAAATTCTAATATTTTTATACTTAAGCAATTTTCCTCAATTCCTTTAATCACTTATGCTATTTTTTTTTTGCTCTTTATTTTCTCCCTGCCCCGTTTCCTGTTCCGTGTGTTGTGTGTGTTCGTGAGTGGAAATGGATTGATATAAACATGAATTGGGTTTATATGTATCCCTCCACCACATGCCACTTTGCTTTTAATTTCTTTTTTCTGTTTCATTTTTTCTCCATAGCTTGACATTTTTGATCAATTTTTTGGTTTTGACTTGTTTTAAATTAAGGTATTGCAATAGCAAATTGAGTTTGTATCGTGCGATCAAACAAATCATTTGTGTCTCACAACTAATTAACTATAATAGATATGATACATAAAAATTTATGCTACAAGTACAGCAATATTGACATTATGGTTGACAGCCCTCTCACGTACAAGAGGTAGAGTCTGCGTTAAAATAATCATGGACCCCACAATTGTGAGTGGGCTGTCTAAATGAGTGTACAACACTAAGTGTAATTCATGCATAAAATATTTCTGTAGTAGAAATGCTGTAGTCATAAATTGTCCATTGCCATAAAGTTTTGCTTTAATTATTAAAAGAATTTGTAATACTAAAAAGTAAAGTAAAAAGCTAATTATGGGTTGGACTTGTATGCACTAGCAAAAAAGTTGAAAGGATTAGTATTCAAAAACAAAAAAGTAAGAATGAAGGTTCTTCCTCTCTCTTGCATACTGTTACAAATATGTCTTGACTTTTAGCGAAGACATGGCCGTCCTAGCTCGTTGACGAAGACATGGTCTTCTCTTTAAGATTTATTTATATATATTATTAAATCTTAAAGATGAGACTAACTATTATAAACTATAAAATCCATTTAGCTTCATAAACTACTATCATGAACCAAGTGTATACATACGATTCTCCAATAATCGTACACCAATTCAAATACAAATATTTACGGTCGTTCATTTCTCTAAAATATGATAACTATTCAAGGAGGTAAATTTCATGAATATTAATCAAGATATGGAATATCGAAACTCAATTTCTAACCAAACTTTTGGTTCTTCGTATTTTGATTCGGTGATCAAAGTGTGGTGGAGCATAAAATCAAGGACTTGGGAAACAAGGTACAAAATTGCCTGACTGGCTTTCGGCCTTGCTGTCGCATGGTTGTTTTATGTGATCGTTGGTGCCCAGTTTTAACTTGAATTCTGGCGGTTTTTTGGAGGAAAGCTTGCAACCTTTCATAATGTTTGGCACTAATTCGTGAGGCATTGATTTACATCTATAAATAGATGATGGAGGGATCAATACATAACATCGAAACTAAAAAATAAAAAAAATTTATTCCACATTAAATCAAACTCTTGATTTTCATTCATATTCAAATCTTTCTTGTGTTCTTAAAGTTTTGGAGGATCATATTTGTGCTTTAGTGCTAAATCTTTTACAAGGCTTGATATAATCCAACAAACTGTTTGTCAAAATCCTTAAACATCTCAAACAATCCCAAGAGGAGGTAAATATAGTTTGAGGACAGCGATTATGCGTTCGAGTCTTCATGTTTGTTGTGTTTTTCATCTTCTTCGTTTCATCTTCTTGATTATTATTTTCTGCATTGTTTCTTCTCCATTTTCATTGGTGATGCAAATATTTCCTACATTTCTGAGCCTTAGTTGGCTGATAATCTTCACTTATGATGCATGTTCCTTAGGCCCTTGTATGACATCCTTTGCAACCCTCTTCAGAGCAATGTATGAATTTGAATCTCTCAGAAACCCTTGATAGACCGCACCAAATCCTCCTCCAAGCTTTTACCGTCTGCAAAATTAAATGTGGCACATACCAGCTTTCCATATGAAAACTTCTTGGGTCCACAACCCTTTTCATATCAAAGAAAAGGTCATCTTGTTTTTCCTCCCCATTTTTTTCCTCCACATACAATAAGCAAAAAAAGAAAAAAAACCAAACCAAGAATCAAAATTGACAGATCAAAAGTCAAGCCAATTAGACTAATTCCATCTTCATTTTCTTTCCATCTCGGTCTGCATATCTAGAATCTGGATAGATGTTTGGCACCAGGGAAGGATCAGCAAGGTTAGGACCTGGAATATTAGTTACTAGTATTTTTAAATTTGAATTTAACTCCAGGACCTGACGTTATGTTTCTGAAAGCAAGTCCCCATAGCTGCTAAGAAGCAACACTCTTTCACTCAGTTAAGTTAGAGATGGAAGTTCTAAAGATATAAATTCTATGGAAGTTCTAAAGATACAAATTGTTCATTGATATAACGTTCTGCTTTGATTGTTGAAATAATTTGTAGTACAAAAAAGGGAAAAATAGAGGAAAAAAAGCCATTATGCATTCATGAAAAAAGTTAAAACAAAGAACAGTATTGAAAATCAAAAGGAAAAAAAAAAATAAAAAAAATACCTATCCAGATTTTTCCAATTTGTATCTTAAGTCTCTCTTGACTTCTACTAAGCAGTAAGCACCAACCCCGTTTTTGTTGTAGACCCTCTATTTGATTTCTATAAATTTGCACAATTTTATTTTAACTTCAACAAGAAATACATGTTTTGATCATCAATATTCTATAAGTTTATGCTTTGAGGTCATCATATTGGCCAAAATGCGATTATTATATTCTAAATATTTCATTTTCTGTTCGCTGATTCAAAGGTAGAAAATACGTAAAATTATTCAACTATACCACATTTAAATATAAATACAGGCAAAGTAATACTAAAATAATTATATTTTAATTCATATGTTCTAGCAAAATTGGTTAAAAATATTCAGGACCATAATAATTTTTTGCACCGAAACTATTACAAAATTCTAAATGTGTTGCTTTAAAATTTTTATATATAATTTAAGGTCTGTTAGGCATGACTTTTGAAAAATTAAATGCTGCTTTTGAGACTAAAAGAACCTTTCGAAGAAGCTATGGTAATTTTCTCAAGAAATTCTTCTCCAAAAAGCAAGAGCCGTGCCAAACAAGCCTTGAGCCACGCTCCACAAGCATTAATCCTCCATGCATAAGATTCCATATAAAAACCATGCTAGAGTTATTATTACTAGTTTAATAATGCTATACACGAATGAATAAAGTAGATTAATGTGAACTTTCTAAAGCCAACTAGATAAAATAATGTGAAGTGAGAGTGTTCGGTGGGGATTAAAATTAGATTTTTAGGAGATTGTGATAGAAATTTTTGAAAAGTATAGTTGAAAAGTTGTAGGGCTCTTGAAAGATGTAAATAATATTGATTGTTTCACTTTGATTTAGATTAAAATCAAATTTTAATTCGGGCCAAACAGGCATTAGACTCGATAAAATAAGATAGTGTATTGTTAGTTGCCAAACAATGATAACAATATCCTAAACCTACCTTAATTTACTATAAACTTGATCGCCTATATTAATTCTAAATACAATATAATGTAGTGAGCCAACGAATGGAATAAGAGTTTATAAAATGCAGCGGAAATAAGAATCTGTTGAGTTAGATTCTAGACTTGAGTTGGCTTGCCCAAAAATACTTGCATGGCAAGAAGATATATTCGGTCGATAATTTGGGCATTAGAATCCGGCAGCATAAGGATTCATACGGATAACAGTAACAACGTAAAAAAATTGAGTCTTTCAGCGCGATATCACCTTCATTCACAAACCAAAGAAGTTGAATTATGAAGACTTTGAAAACATATTCACAATAAAAGACTCTTATCTGGTCTACAGATTACAGAAGAGATGCAGATGCGGATGCAGATGCAGAAGCAGCAGAAGAGGATGTGAAATTTGAGTCATTAGAATGGTAACCATAGCTTGAAGGCTGGAGTGAAATGACATTGCTGGATTGTGAAACCGAAGATGTAACCACATGTGGCGGAGCAAAATATGTCAACACTGGCAACTTTGATGGGAGAAGGGGCAACTGAGCTTCAAAGTTAAGGACATGAATAGCTTCCTTTATTGATGGCCGCTGACTGTTATCAGGGTGAGCACACCAAAGCCCGACAATCATCAAGCATTCTATTTCCTGCTCGTTATAATCTGCACATAGTTTTGGATCAGCTGCTTTAAGTAGGTCTCCGGTTCCGTAGAGGTCCCAAACCCACTCCACCATGTTTACTTGATTCTCCTGCGCCTTGACATCAATGGGTTTTCTTCCACATGCGATTTCCAATGCAACAACTCCAAAGCTGTAGACATCTGATTCTTTGCTCGCCTTGCCAGAGATTAAATATTCAGGGGCCATATATCCCATAGTGCCTGCTAAGACAGTTGTTTGTGATGCCTTTTCATGATCAACAAGTCTAGCCAAACCAAAATCCCCAAGTTTTGCATTGAAGCTCGAATCCAGCATAATATTACTCGATTTTATGTCCCTGTGCACCACACATTGTTCCCACTCTTCGTGTAGATACAGCAAAGCTGAAGCCAGGCCTCTGGCAATTTTGTACCTTGTTTCCCAGGTCAACAAAGATTTTCCCTTGAACAGATGTAAATCTAAGCTACCATTTGGCAAGAATTCGTAAACAAGTAGTAGCTCTCTTTGCTCATGGCACCAACCAAGAAGTTGTACAAGATTCCTGTGCCTCAATCGGCTGATAATCTTCACTTCTGACGCGTACTCCCTCGTCCCTTGTTTTGAATCCTTTGACACTCTCTTCACAGCAACGTATGAATTTGAATCTCTCAAATACCCAAGATAAACCCCACCAAATCCTCCTTCTCCAAGCATTTTTTCGTCAGCAAAATTGTCCGTTGCACATACCAATTCTCCATATGAAAACTTCTTAGGTCCACATTCCCTTTCAAATTCCGTGTCCATTGTTATATCTAAGGAAGGTTCATCAATTTTTCCCTTCCTATTTTTGTTCCTCCATAAACTGTAACCAATCAAGACCAAAATGGGGACCAAAACAGACAGACTAACAGTCAAACCAATTACTAATCCTCCCTTCGTTTTCTTTTCCCCAGGGTTCACTTGATAACTGTCGGTATAAGTATGACCTTGATTATTGGTTACCATTGAATTGAAGTCCCAAGACTTAACGTTATGCTTCTCCCAGCAAAGCCCTGTAGCTGCTGAGAAGCCAACACTCACCCGCTCAGGTAAGTATTTTGTCAAATCTACCGTATAGCCAAGGCGACCATTTTGGGTCAGATTACTCCTGTGACCTGTGAAGTTTACACTAAGATATTGCGAAGTGGAATTATAACTAATCCAAGCCTCGTTTTCCTTCCCCTCAGTGATGTTGTTCGACCATGTGACATTGGTTGCCGAAATCAGTGAATTGATATCAATACCTACATGTAAACCCTCTGGATCCCATCCATTTCCAAAAGTATCAAACTCCACTGCCACAAAAGGATCACCAGATTTTTTTTCTGGGTTATCACGTTGAACAAGGCCAAGCCCACTACCGGACAAATCGCCACGTATGCTTGAACCGAAAGGAGCCAAGAAAAAGGCGAGTCCGTCTGCCCCAGAGCAAGCACCGTCACTGTCACTGGCACTGGCACTGGCATCAATAACAAAAGAGAAATGAGTATAGAAATCTGTCAGGTTACCTGAAGATTTGTCCCAGAGGTGCAAGGGTTTTATATAAGTGGCACGGCCTGCTGCCCTTGCTGCTGCCGTATTGTTCTTATTCGACGTGAGCTGAAGGCCTTGTGGAGAGATATACGCATCACCTGTGACATTTATGTTCGTGTCAGGAGGTTTGATGGTAGGGAAGTTAAAGGACAATGGAGCTGCGAGTGGGATTGTAAGATATAAAAAAACAGAGACACTACTCCAGAAGTTGCAAAAAGCCATGGTTATGAAAATGATGAGGGAAAAGGAGCAGTTCATGTTTTAGCCCGGTTTGGAGCACATTATAATGGCATTTTATTTTGCAAATCTCATTATTAGAATCAATAAAAAATTAGAAAAGGTAGTTGCTTGTGATACGTCAATTTCCCATCATTGAGGACAAAATTATCCTCAACTACACAATGCAATTGATGCAATGCTCCACGAGAACATGTTAAGGGCAGTTTGGAAAATTTAAGTAAAATATCTATCGAAAAGTGAAGACAAATATCAAGATATATAGGCGTGGGGACTACAAATTCTGAAATTGAGAAGAAAAAATGGGCAAATAATGGGGCCCAAACGTATGCTTAATAATTGAAGGGAATTTAACGGAGAGAACCTTTAGTTTACTCATTTCACTGCACGATTCTCCCTTCAAACGTGGATAAATTGTGTCTTATTCCACTTTCATGGATGAATGTGTGAAAGTAGTAATATAACAAAGTACATGTTCACACTTCATACCATAAAATTCAAAGATCTTTCCTCGAACTCCTTTTTCTTTTCTTTTTTTCCTATTTGGTATACACTATTTAACGAAATTAGACACATTCAGTTTATTATTTATGATTAAATTTATCAAACATGTCATTTGCGACCATTATAACAATTACACGTGACATTGGACATAATTGCTTTACTTTATGAAACGGGTCATTTGTGTATCAGGCACGAGTATTGTGTACCTATATATATGTGTATGTTTAGTAAATCGCTTATTTCCGTAATGATGGGTTTTTGCACAAATATTTAATTATAATTAATTATTTATTTATTTAAAATTACAAGTAGCAAATAAGTCTATTTGTTCTTCTTCATGACTTTTCATATGGAAATCATAATCAAGGATAAGATGTACTAATTAACATAACGTTAAGTATAAAAATGCTATTAAAAAAAGTTAGAAACATTATTATAACAATGATTAAAAGTTATATATGTTTGATATAATTAAATTGAAATGCAATTATGGATAATTTAGGGTCCCTACGTACTGCTTAGTAAATGAGTTGAGTGGCGAATTCGTTGTCTTGTCTTGTCTTGTCTTGTCTTGTCGTTGACGAAGACTTGTTCCTTTCAGCTATTCTTTTAAAATGTTATCCTAATGCCGTAGTGGCTCAAATTTGACAGTGATATTCTTTACAATGTTGCCCTGTTAATTAACGATTGCAAACTCTGCAATGTAATTCTATTCAACTTTTGTTTAGTATTACTGCTTCGGTAATTGGAATTGAATTTAGAAAACTGATTTTTGGTATTAGGGGCTGAACAGTTATTTCTTGTATCCGAATCCGAAATTAGAGATTAATTTAAGGCCTTTAATAAATTGTGACAATGCAAAATTAGAAAACTTATTTACAAATCTTAGGAGACTTAAAAAATTCAGCTCACGCAAAATATACATATATAGATGGTGCGGGTTTTTGACGATCGTGACGCTGATTAGAGATTTGGATGGTGCGGGGATCGTGACAGTGATTAGAGATTTAGATGGTGCGGGGGTGGCTGGTCACGTGCATGGAGGATACGGAAGTAGTGGCCATTCGGGATGGGCTCGTTTTTGCGAAAACAGCATGGCTTCCTTATTTCCATGGCCATTCGGGACGGACTGTATTGATTTTAATTTTTCATTTGGCCCTAATGCTTCCGTGTTAGATCAGTTGAGAGATGCAAATTGTGGCTCTTGCTCTTATGTACTGGACAAGGGAATATGGTGTTGGGAATCTACTTATACATACACAGCGGAATTTAAAATAATTTTCGATTCCCATCAAGAATCGCCTTTGTGTTTAGATAGAAATTGGGATAAGGATTGTACCTTTGAAAAATTCTGCAATCCTTTTGCTTTTCTTTTCGTTCCATCAACCTTGATTCGCCACCACAGCTGTCCAATTGTCCAGTCTCCAACGGTGATCCACACAGAGAATAAGATTGCAGCTACCAGGGTTTTCTCTCTTGTGCCAGCAAGAATAATGAAAATCATATGGACCTCAAACTCTAGTCATGTATTTATATAAACCCAAACGGGCTCGGCCCAGTCCGGTCCGTGAATTAATTAATCCAATTAATTAATTCGAGAACATAAATAACAAATCCAATTAATTAATTTATCCAACGATTGTTAAATTAACCAATTAGCAATTTACAATCTTCTAATTCTCTTTTGTGTGTGACCCATTAGGTTCCCAAACACGATGCCTAACGACGTGAAATATTATTTTGATCTAATCAAAATTGATAAATTAAAACACCCTTTTAATTTATCGTCAATTCACACTCGTCGTCCCTGATTGACATCTAGCAATGTGTCAGTGCAATACATGTGACGGGAAATGTCACGTGGTATGACAAAACCAAATTCGTTCGTTTACCGTGAAACTATAATCCCTTCGTCAATATGATCCGATCAATTACGAAATATGGAATTGTGTCAATCTCGATCATCGATCATATCTTTCACTCCACTATTAAGTCAGTTTAAGTCGAAAACTTCTTTTCGACTTATGAGTACACCTTGGCCAATGATTTTATCATCGACTTAATTGAATGAAACGCAGATCATAATCTCCTACTATCTAAGAGTGACGAATCCTTTATTGATCAATCACAACCTTCATACGATTCTTGAAGTACTCGAACGATGTCGTATTAGCGGCCATTTTCAGAGCAACATCCAATACCGGCAAAGTATGACTGTCCTCATATAAGGTACCATGACGACCTCAAGTCAAAGGACCAATTCCACTACCGAAAGTTAGAGATTAACCACTGACACTTAGATAGTTATCCATGTGAAATCTCTCGACAGGTCTCCAATATTTTGTTCTATAACAAAACATCCATGTGTTCATTTAAGTGTCACCACACTTTGACTTGTGAGATCAGCTACTTACTTTACAAGTAAGAAATGCCACACGTGATGGTCTATCCGTAATAATGATATCCGTATCTCGTTATTACTTACGACCACGGACGATTTAAGATTCAATCAGATGTAATTTGTATTTCACAATCACAACTCCTTTTGATTAACAAATTATGAAGATTTGAATCTACGAACTCTATTATTTATTTAATTGTCTACTAATTAAATAATAGATCTATCATTTTTTTGCATTAATTATATATATAAAAGTATTTATGTCCAAAGTTGATTGGACCTAGGGCATAATACTTACAAACTCCCACTTGCACTAGATCCAATCACTTATGTATCCAATATCATAAGTCTACATGACGATCATGTTTATACTACGACAACTCTTTGTCAGTGAATCTGCAATATTGTTAAATGTGAGAATTTGTTCTTTTCTTTACGTCATTTCTATGTATTATCTCTCTGATGAGATTATACCGCCTTAATACATGTTTGGATTATTGATGAGACCTTAGTTCCTTTACTTTCGCAATGCCTCTATTGTTATCACAATACAATGGTATGTGATCAACAATATCAGAAACTACTCCAAGTTCATTTATGAACATCATGATCCAAATTGCAATTCTTTGATGCTTCTGAAGTAATCACGTATTAGGTTTCTACTATTGAATCAATGGTTGCTTCACATTTGGAACTTTTCCAGCATACCGCTTAAGAGTAAACCAGTTTCTCCATATGAAATCTTCTCAAGATTTCAATTGGGATAAGTTTAGCAATCTTCTAGATCTACCTCTATAGATCAAGTTGCTTATCTTATATTGTTCAAGAATAAATCCTTTTAACAACCATTATCTCAACGATTGAAATATAGGGATGTCGTTTTCTATAATATTAGGAATACGACAATGCTCCCACTATCTTCTTATAAACATACAATTCTTCTTCAAATTTGATAAAATCAAACACTTTGACTTTTTCCATTAAATCGAAGATTTCAGCTCCATATAGACTTATCTTAACCTTTAGTTACAATATGTAACTGTTGCAAATAAAACCCGAATGGACTTCAGCAAGGCCACAGAAGAAAAGTTTCACCAAGGTCAACACTTAACCTTTGCTTCTAGCCTTGCTTTGTATATATGTGGATATTCACATCCACATCGACCCTTCCCTTGTAAACTATTTACAAAACCTTATGGGTTTTATTCCATCAGGAGGCTCGACCAAGTTCCAAACCTTGTTCACTTACGTCGAGTTCATCTCGAGTATCATGGCATCTTGCTGTCTCTTTTAAGTCAACACTTGACTTTATTTTGTTGCAACTAGCAGGTTCATTATCCTAGATCACTAATACCTGATTAATGATCATGGATTCGCACCTTCTTGAAGGTCGAATGATCCTACTAGATTCACATAGAGCTGTCATGTCCTCCGGAGTCTTTACTTCCTGATCCAAAGTATGTCACACATCAGATATGAGATCAAACTCAGATTTATCTACTTGGTTATCTATTCGGTTAACTAGATCTGTGGACTCTTGAACTCTTTCAAATTCTATTTTACTCCCACTGTCCTCTCCCAGAGTAAACATTTTCTCTAAAAAGACGATATGTCGTAAGACGAAAACTTTCTTCATGATACTAGAATTTATATTCAAATGTCTCCTTTGAATATCCCACAAATATATATTTATCAGATTTAGTCTCAAACTTATCCGATTTAAGGCGCTTAAAATAAACGTCATGGCCCCAAGCTTTCATATAAAATAAATTGGGACTATTGTCTCTCCATAACTCGTATGGAGTTCTGTTAACCAATTTAGATGGGACATGATTTAGTGTGTTGCACACTGCAATTAATGCATGACTCCAAAACAATTTTGGGAGATTTCATGGCTTGTTATTAATCGCATTATATCTAATAATTAACGATTCCTCCTTTTAAATACACTACCTTGCTGCAGCATATATGAAGGAGTCCACTACAAGATAATCTCATTCTCTCTTAAATAATCTAGATTTTATCTTTAAGATACTCTCACTTGATCGAATCTTAATGTGAATGTATCTTTATCTATTTGTTTCTCTAATTCTAGTGTGAATCCTTTGAACTTTTTAAGAGTTTCATGTTTGAGTTTTCATCAAGTATATTTGATCAT